CTGGAAGCAAAGGGAAAAAACAAAACGTTTTAGTATCACTCTCCATGTTGATTCGCTGTGTGTCAAGGACACGCTTTGGTTTTAGTATCACTTTAATTAGTTAAAAAAAAACTGACAAAAATATATATTCAAAACATCACGCTACACGCGGTTTGCCAAGGACCAACTGTTAACATGCGAACACGTGCATGCAAATGACATTTTTATATATTACTAAGAACAGACACATCGAAATCTTTAATACAAACATACCCATACAAATACACATACGCGCACACAGTCGGGTTTCAAACGTATTACTTTACATTTACCTCGCGAGAGCAAATTATAATGATTGCGACTTGACGCTTTGGACTGAAGGAGGGAGAGGAAGGGGGGGAAGGGGAGATGGAGCGAGGCCGAGGGGGAGGAGTGAGAAGGGAGAGGGAGGGGAAGGAGGAGGAAGGGGGAAGGGGGAAGGGGGGGAGGGAGGAGGGAGAGGGGAGGGAGAGAGAGAGAGGAGAAGGGGGAGAGAGAGGGAGAGAGGGTAGAGAGGGGAGAGAGAGAGAGAGGGGGGAGAGAGAGAGAGAGAGAGAAGAGAGAGAGAGGAGAGAGAGAGAGAGGAGAGAAGAGAGAGAGAGAGAGAGAGAGAGAGAGAGAGAGAGAGAGAGAGAGAGAGAGAGAGAGAGAGAGAGAGAGAGAGAGAGAGAGAGAGAGAGAGAGAGAGAGAGAGAGAGAGAGAGAGAGAGAGAGAGAGAGAGAGAGAGAGAGAGAGAGAGAGAGAGAGAGCGAGAGAGACGAGAGACAGACCGTCAACGACGTGGGAGAGATAACCGTCTTTACAAAGCTCGAAGAGGGGTGGGCGGGTGGATGAAGGTTCTGCGTGTGAAAGTAGCTTGAGAGCTGTGGACCGAAGACATGATAGGAAGAGGAAGTGTGTGGAAGTGAAGAAAAGAAAGCTATTTAAACATTAACGAGTATTAAATGCAATTATTGGGAAACCATATCAATGAAACCAGGACAATATATCGATAAATGAAATGAAAAAATCACCAAATTTGCCAAAAAAGCGAGGGGTTGCAAAGGAAAAATATGAGGGAGAGAGGGAGGGGGGGAGGGAAAGAGGGAGAAAAGCTGAGAGGGAGAGAGGGAAAGGAGAGGGAGGAGAGGGGATAGAGGGGATAGAGGGAGAGGGAGAGAGAGGGAGAGGGAGAGGGAGAGGGAGAGAGAGAGAGAGAGAGAGAGAGAGAGAGAGAGAGAGAGAGAGAGAGAGAGAGAGAGAGAGAGAGAGAGAGAGAGAGAGAGAGAGAGAGAGAGAGAGAGAGAGAGAGAGCGTGCAACACCTCGGGACAAAAGGTCAACCACTCGCCCAACTTCCGCCACACCTTCCCCGAGCGAGACAGCTTGCAACGTTGCAACCTTAGCGGGTGTGGTGGGAGAGGCACCTGGTCCTTCGCGCTCTCACTGCTCTGAGAGGAGAGAAGAGAGAGGAGAGAGAAGGGAGGAAACAGGAAGAAATAATTGCTGGGATGGAAGGGAGCAAGGCAGAGAGAAGTGAGGAAAAAAGGGAAAAGAAGCGATGAGATTGGAGAGAGAAAGGGAAAAGGAGAGCGACGAAGCCAAGACGATGAAGAGAAAGCAGAAGGACGAGCCTGCAAACAACCCTATGAACAGCAGCAGCGAATATACTAGTCACACCGACCATGTAAAAATGTTCGGGAGGGGAAGGGGAAGGGGAAGGGGCGATCCTCCATCCATGGGAATGCTTATGCAGGAGAGGGGAGCAACCTCACTTCTCGCAGTAAAAAGGAAAAATATGTAGCGTCTTCCCTTCCCTCCCCCTTCTCCCCCTCATCGTCGGCACTACTAAATCTACCCGACCCGAGAGCGCTTCTTTCGCCGCCGCCGCCGCCGCCGATCCGTGGGTGGTCTCGCCTCGCATCGCCTAGCCCTATCCTCTGCTTGGTCTCTTCTACGACACACTCCTTTCGGGTGTTCTTTTGCCTTTTTGCTAATCCCCACGTCTTGCTCTTCTCCTCGTTGCTAATCCCCTCGCTACTCCCTACACCTGCACCCCAACTCCCTCAAGATATCTCCTCTAAAGTGCACTCTCTGCAACCTGTTTCGCAGTTTGAGCGCTCTTTCCTTTTCCCTCTCGACGAGAAAGACCCTTGTTTATTCTTCCTTTTGAGATGCAAACGTTTAATCTCGTACTTGTCGACGTCGAAGTCTCTCTCCGTCTATCTAAACGTATGTCTATGCCCCCTCCTACTGCTGCCCCCCCCCCCCACCTCCTCCTCCTCTTTCGCATCCATCCATCTCCTTCCGCGGACAAAACCCATAACGCGGGCGTGACGTCATCATCTCTGCCGTTTTAGGAGCCTCGAGAGGGCCGTCTAGGGCTCCTGAAACGCTGTGACGTCATCGTATGTGTCTCTCTTTTGTCAGTCGAGTAATGGGATTTGTTGTGGTGTCGGCGGCCGAGTGACGTCATCAAATGGGCCATTAGAAGGATCGGGGGAGGGGGGTACTGTATTCCCCGCCCACTACCCCCTACCCCTTTACCCCTGTTCTATACCGGATGATGGATCAGCTGTTGAAAGAGTCCCAGTCACGTGGTTTAGGGAAGCACGTGGCAAGTAGGGTGGCGTGGGCTGCTTGTGTGCGAGTATATGTAGATATGCGCGCGCGCGCTAGCGTGCGAGCGAGTGTGCGTGCGTGTGTGTGCGTGTGTGTGTGTGTGTGTGCATCAAAAGGATGGGAATGGGAGGGGGAGGGACATATACGGCAACCCAGCACGAAAATGAGTTCCCTCGCTTTCTTGGAAGAGCGATGTAAAGCAGTAACAAAAGAGAATCAAAGACACAGGCCATTACAACAATGTCCCCAAAACAAACACCTAAAGAAGGGGAAAATAACTAACCCTTCACCCCTCTACCCCTCCCCTCCCTCCCCTTTTCCAATCCCCTCGAGGCAGGCAGGCAGGTACTAGGGTACACGGGTCACTGCAGCGAAAGCAACAAAGCTCCCCCGCCCGCACTCCCCCCACCTCGGGATAAAGGGCTCCCTCCTGAAAGTAATTTACTCGAGACGCCAGACACACGACCGCCCTCCTTTTTCTATTGCCCTGTTTCTCTCTTTTTCTCTCTCTTTATCTTCTCTTTCTCTCCCTATCTTTCTCTCTTTTTCCCTCTCTCCCCTTCCCCCCTCCCTCCCCATAACAACGCCACAATTGCCTGACCCTCCAAAGCACGTCCTCCCGCTCCCCCTCTCCCCCCGGTCACGTCCCCCGAGGGCGCCACGAGCCATTAGCCTCTGCAAAGCCCCACCGCAACGCATAAAAAAATCAACGCATCTGGAGGCCATAACAGGACCTTCCCCCTACCCCCTACCCCCCCCATTCCAACCCCCTCCCTCTCCCGCACGCGCACACGCACAAACACACGAGATCCAAAAGCACGTTCAAAAGACAACTCTACGTTGCGCACGCAACACGCCTCTACACGCTCGGAATCAAATCAAACCGCGCACTAATTAAAAACTGTCACATCGCTACAGACAACCTATGCCACATACGCCCACCCTTATCGAAAAATATGCGTGCACCCAAGGAAAAGAAAAGAAAGGAAAAAAAAAAATGAAATGTACCTAAGCTACTCATTTGAAACTAACGAAGGAGAAGGGACATGAAAGTTAGCAAGAGGGGAAGGCAGGAGCAGAGAGAGGAGGAGGAAAAAAAATAAAGAGGGAGAGGAGGATGGGGGAAGGGGGAAGAGGAGAGGACGGGATGGAGGACGCGGAGAGGAGGGAGAATAAAAGAGGTGGAAAGGATGGAAGGATGAGGGAAGAAGGTGGAGAGAGAAAAAAAACAGGAATGAAACAGGTTAACACGATTCACGTTTCGCCTAAAGAGTATTTGAATTGTATTCTTCCGATAAACACGACCATTCAACGCAGGATGAGAAACGGAAGACAAAAGACTGCGATAAAGGAAGAGAAGGAGGGGGAGAACATACCTGGGGGAGACACGATAATACACAAAATAGAAAAAAAAGAAAGACACTCCTTACCACCCCTCCATCCAAGCCTCATTGCAAACAGAAACGAGGTTGCACAGGGGTTGCAGTTCGTCTCAACCACTTATCTCCTGATAACCAAAGGCAAGGTTATTTCCGCTGGCTAATTGGAAGCTGGAGATGGGGGGAGGGGGAGAGGAGGAAGAAGAGGGGGGAGAGGAGAACAGTTATGCAAGTGTTCACAAGCGTTCACCTCTTGCTATTTTGGGTTGGAGGTTATTCTTCGTTCTTATTGGGAAGAAAAAGGGAAGGGCTTGGGGCCGAGACCAAAGGTGGGAGGGGGGCACAAGGAAGATGCCGAATGTGAAAAAAAGAGGGAGAAAAAAATCCGTTTGACGTGGCGGCACAGTCCCGGAGATAAAAAAGGCAGCAAGATTATCAAGAACACTAATTAAGTTTTTTTTAAGCGGGCACGAAAACGAGGCAGGGCAGGAAAGTAAGGCTTGGCGAGAAGACAGGGCAGGAATAGGGAGAGGGAGGGAGAGAGGAAAAAAGGACAAAGGGGAGAGGGCAAGGGAGGGGGAGAAAAGTACGCAAGGAGCATGGGTATGAGGCGACCACTGCGAAGGGCACAGTGGCAGGTGGGGGAGATGAGATCGAGGAAGCGAGACAGAGGTCACGAGAGAAAGGAGATGGTGAAGAGGATAAGAAAAAGGGAAGGAGAAGAGGGGAGAGAGGAGGAGGGAAAGAGGAAATGAAGAGGGGCAGGGAGAGAAGAGGGACCACGAGGGTGCCAGCCAAAGCTCGCGGGGCTGGTGGTGGCGTCCGTGGCTCCCAGAATAGCGTAGGGCGGTAGGGTCACGACCCTAATGTGCTGCTCGCATCATGCTGGCTGGCTCTCCCGCGCGCGCGCACGCCCGCCCTCCAGCCCTTCCGCCTTGCAACGCCCAACTCGTCGTTCGCAACGAACACCCGAGTGTGAAAGCAGACGAGCCACGAGGGAAA